CCCCAAAACCCCAAAACCCCAAAACCCCAAATTCAGCCACTGGCCTAGAAATAATAAACTTAAAAAGAAATGGAAAGTTTAGTAGAACAGATAGAAGCCAACATGGAGCAAGCCAAAGAGTAAGAGGGGTAGGGCTTGAGTGGGCCTGGAGGGTACTCCTCAAAACCCAGTTTTAACACCTATACACTATCTATATCACAAACCTCTACTACATCATCATATTTTTACACTAAAGAGGCCTGAGAGGCAAACCAGGAGACCTCATTGGGAGCCTGGGCTTATTAAGGCCGGCTCAGTGCTGAGCGAGATCACAGGATTTATTAATAGCTTATTCTTATAGATCGGAAAAGTGGGTCATGGAAGAAAGTGAAGAAATTGATAAAAATATTTTAAAGAATATCTTCTTGAAAATTTGGCGTGATATGGCTTTTTCAGGATTGTTTGATTCTCGAGCCTATAATAAGAACGTAGCTTATGGAAAAATTCTTGAATTAAATTGAAGGTTCAGGAAAGAATCGAATCTTTGTAATGGTTTGAAACCTTTTGTGATGTTCAATCTGAATAAAGTGTCTTTGAATGGTTTAACAAAAAGAAGAAGCTATGTTAAAGATTTTCTCACCAAATCATTTCCTAAGAAGATTGTGAAACTATATATCTCCTTCAATAAACCTTTAAAGCTAAACTCAGCATATTACATGAATAGCATGATCAAGATTGGTCCGAATGTTCAGAAGATAGCACGTTTTAAATGCCTTTGGCTGAATTCTAAGCAACTCAAAAGACTATTGAGTGCATACAAGCATGTGACTCAATTGAGTCTCTCATACTGCTTATTTTGTCTACCTGCGCATGTAGATTTGACAATGGCTCTGAAGGACACACAGATAACTCACCTCAGTTTTTCATACTCTTCTTCTGCTGATCCAAGTGATTGGAAGGATAAGCCAACAGGCTTGCTGAATTTATTGAAGAGTTTAGGAACTTCGCTAGATTTAATCCTCATGCTGCAAGCACTGTGCCTGGCCGGCTGGGTCACCAAGAAATCTCTGCTAAGAAAGACACTGAGTGACAATAATCTTGGAAGAGTTAAGCTAAAGAGGTCGATTAATGATTAGAATTTCAAGTATTGGGGTAATTTAGGGGTTTTGGGGTTTTGGGGTTTTGGGG